CCACAGGTGTGGCCTAAATAAGGTAAGGGAGGGGGGTTTAGCTTATTCAGGCCACAGGTGTGGCCTAAATAAGGTAAGGGAGGGGGGTTTAGCTTATTCAGGCCACAGGTGTGGCCTAAATAAGGTAAGGGAGGGGGGTTTAGCTTATTTAGGCCACCTGTGGCCCAAATAAGGTAAGGGAGGGGGGTTTAGCTTATTTAGGCCATATGTGGCCTAAATAAGGTCACCCTAAGAAAAATGGACCAAAAAAAAACAACAAAACACCACAAGAAAACCCAACAAAGATACAGTTTATTTCGTTTACCCTTTTTTTCTGATTTCTCTCTTCACTGTACTGCACATCTTATCTAAAACATGTTTCGTTGTCGTTTCAAGTTGAAGGCAAACCAGACCTGCAGAGATTTCTTCTCGAGGTTTTCGACGCATTTCCTAATTTGTATAATATTTGTAATAATGTTTGTAATAATTCTGGGATCAACGCAGAGGGTATATGTTCATGGCTGTTGTTCCCCCCCCCACACACACTTTTTTTCTCCTCATCCCTTCCCTTCTTCCCGGGATCCGTCTCTAAGTACATGCATATCTTATCTATAAAAAAAATATAAAAACCTTTGAAAAAAACCATATGTGTAATGAACAACGCGGTGGAATCATGCGCTCGTCATTTTTCTTTTGGCTTGTGGAGTAACTGGTATCATCTTAGAACTTGTCCATTTGTCTTGCCTTCAGCATGAAAAACGCACCCATTGATAATAATAATAATAATAATAATAATAATAATAATAATAATAATTAAATAATAATAATAATCATACATACATAATAATAATAATAAGGATAATAATAAATAGCATTTGTATTGCGCATATTATTATCCCTGCTCAACAGCAGACTCTATGCGCTTTACACTATATTATTACCCCAGCAGACCATAGAACCCTCCGAAACATTCTCAGCTTCCCGGGAAGCATACAGCGCAAGTAGCTGATTAAGCGCTCAAACACTAACAAACTGACAAAATCTGTTGCTGTCTATAGCCGGGTACCCATTCCCACCTGGGTGAAGTGAGGAAAATTTGTGCAAAGTGCCTTTCCCAGGGACACAACGTCGGGCCCCTGACCTTACGGTTGCGAGTCCGAGAGCCTAACCACTAGGCCACCGACGCCACATCCCCATTTATCTTGAACAGAAGTCCAGATACCCGCTATTGAAGGAGGTGGAGGTCTCCTTGCTTCAGAGGTTAAATTAGTGAGAAAATAGCCGCCAAAGTTTAGTTAGCGCCAGAGTTTGAGAGCCTATGGTAACTGAAAACTTACATTTTGAGCCTTTAATCAACGTTTCTCAGTAAAAGATCCACACAGAAATGTGTACTTTAATGGACATAAAAGGTGTTGGAACCCTTGAAGGAAAAAAAAATAATTTTTTTTGGGTTTTTTAAAAATAAAATAAAAATCGATAAAAATGGTCAAACTGGCGTGAAAATGCCAGTTTCTTCAATTTCAATATTATTCTGACGAGCGCCTGCTTTCACAACACTGCCTCACATATCGACTATACACTATAGACATGTACTTAACACTTCGCTTTTTACGATTACTTTTCTTTTTTACCTTTGTCTTTTTTAATTTTGTTTTTGACTTTTGTTGAGATAAGCAACACAACCTTCTGTTCTTTCCCTTCTGCGGAACCAAAGAGTGGAAGCCAACTACAATTATAATTATAATATTCACCTGTGGAGCTTTTCTCTCTTCCGTTTGAAAGAGCTTCGCCCTGTTGTTACAGTTTAACACAGCATTCCATCCATTCCGCCCAATGTGGAAGTGGATGTGAGTTCGTCTACTGTCCTACCCTGTGGCGGTTCCAATACGGTACTTGTTATACGCGCCGTTTTGTGTGTTCTGTGAAGGGTTCCAATACTCGGTATACGGCAAAGTTTTGTGTGTTCTGTGGACGGTTCCAATACTCGTTATACGGTGCCGTTTTGTGTGTTCTGTGAAGGGTTCCAATACTCGTTATACGCGCCGTTTTGTGTTTTCTGTAGACGGTTCCAATACTTGTTATACGGTGCCGTTTTGTGTGTTCTGTAGACGGTTTCAATACTCGTTATACGCGCCGTTTTGTGTGTTCTTTGAAAGGTTCCAATACTTGTTATAGGGCAAAGTTTTGTGTTTTCTGTGGACGGTTCCAATACTCGTTATATGCGCCGTTTTGTGTGTTCTGTGAAGGGTTCCAATACTCCTTATACGCGCCGTTTTGTGTGTTCTGTGAAGGGTTTCAATACTCGTTATACGGCAAAGTTTTGTGTGTTCTGCGAAGGGTTTCAATACTCGTTATACGGTACCGTTTTGTGTGTTCTGTAGACGGGTTCAATACTTGCTATACGGCAAAGATTTTTGTTTTTTGTGGAGGGTTTCAAGTTCCATGACTTACTTCATCGAGCAGCGCCACGGGTGGAAAAAGACGTAAATCTAGTAGCAGCAACAGGAACGGTGGCTGCAGGATGTATTTGTTGATAATGACTGTAACAACAGCATTAAAATTATAGTAGTAATGACAGTGACAATGACAATGACATTGACAAAGACAATGACTGTGACAATGACTGTGACAATGACAATGACAATGACAAAGACAATGACAAAGACAATGACAATACCATTAACAATGAAAATGACAATAATAGCGGCAGTAACAGCCACATGAGCAGCAGCAGTAGTAGTAGTAGTAGTAGTAGTAGTAGTAGTAGTAGTAGTAGTAGTAGTAGTTGTTGTTGTTGTTGTTGATGTTGCTGTTGTTAATTTCAACAAACAAAACAACAACAACAACAACATCGGCTGGACAATACATTTTAGTGCGAATATAAGTGCTAATATAATTAGTATCATTAAAATCTTTTTTTGTTTTTCTGTCTCGAATATTTTTGTGTTGGTTCTTACGTTTATCTGTGTGTTCATGAGTGCCTTTTTAACTTAAGCTTAACAAAAAAAAATTAAAAACTTAGTCAAAGATCGACTTCGCACTTTGTATGTTTGACCTAAAATCAGTAACGCAAGTCGGAACCGAGGTCACACCGACATGAACCTGTGGATAGTGGTCAGGGCAATCACTCCATTCACAGACATTACATAACTATTAATGATACAAAAATAGATTTTTCTAAATGTAAGGATGATAAGGATTTTTCTAAACGTAAGGATGATAAGGATTTTTCTAAATGCAAGGATGATAAGGATTTTTCTAAATGCAAGGATGATAAGGATTTTTCTAAAATCCTGAATACTGAACTCCCGCAAAGGGTGAGAAAATTCAGTAACATCTTTCAGCGAGAAGTTCAGTTGAAGAAGTTTGTGAAACCCTGGAGGATGGTGGGGTGGGTGGGTAGTTGGGGGAGGGACGGTGAGGGGAGCAGAATAAACATTCTAGTCCGACATTTTCTCGGAGCCTGGCGTACAGACGGCTGACAAAATGCAACGCTTTGGAAATGACCCAGATTAAATTAAACAGGATGCAAACATCCAGGACAGCTGCACAACAAGGAAAGTGTTAGATTGGAACCCACAGGATAAAAGATCAAGGGGAAGACCACGTGGAACCTGGAGAAGAGTCACGGAAATTGATGTACAGAAACGTGGAAAGACATGGAATAACATCAAGCGACTAGCCCAGGATAGAGAAAGGTTGAAAGTATTTGTTCATGGCCTATATCCTAATCCAGGGTGAGAAAGGCAATGATGATGATGATGATGATGAAACATCCAGGAAAAGTTTCACAAAAACAAGGATGATGACACTATTAATTATTTATATGATACGTTTTCAGATAATCAAAGATGTTCAAGCTTTATGAGCCGTGCTTCAGCGTCCATCCCTCCTTTACACTGCTCTTTGGATTGATGCTTAGCGCTACCCTGCTGCAAACAGCCTTCACAGACAGGGTGAGAGACGTGTTGATATGATTCTTTATTCTAGATTTTAATTTCCATTCATTATGGGGTAGCTCATAAACTTGAATTAAAATGTGAGGCATCGTGGTGAAATCAGGCGCTCGTCAAAACAATGAAATCAAAGAAATCGGTATTTTTCTTGGCTCATGGGCAAGTTTTTTTTTCGTTTTCTTTTTTGGCTCAACACCTTTTATGTCCAATAAAAACGTATTTCTTTGCAGATTTTACTGAAAAACATTGATGAAAGGCACAAAAAATGTAAATTTTCAGTTTCCAAGGACTCTCTGCCTATTGAAGTTACAAAACCTAGCGGCCATTTTCTCACTAATTTTATTTGTGAAATCAGGCGAATCTGACTTCTTTCAATTGCAAATATCTCGATATTAACTCCAATAAAAAAATTGACGAGCGCCTGATTCCACTGCGTCGTGACACAAATACCCTAGGTCGGTAATTATATTGATGTAATGTGTTTTTTATTTTAATATTTAAAGAAATCAACTTTTATATAAGTATGGTTTTGAGTTTTTTCAACATGTAGGTAGCATACTACAGTCCATCCATTTAAAAGATAAAACGGCTTTTTAAAAATATCTATTGATCCCTTAGGAGTTGGGCAATGAGATTTTGAAACTAAGGCACACCCCTTTTGTCTTTTCATGTAGATCTAATACTTTTTTCAAAGCTGTAACATCACATCGAAAGACACTTTTCTCCGAAGAGGAAATTGTTAATTCCTTCCAGCCTGACTCAGTCCAGAGACAGAAATGTGCAATGTTTGACTCATGATAAGAGACATTATGTGCCCAACCTGTACCTTTTCATTAGGGATACTTTTTTATAATTAAAAGAAAAAAATCAAATGAGCCATTTATATGATGTGATGTAGGCCAATGGCCTTAAATACTGAATACAGTAATTACTTACTTACTTTCTCCGGAACGAAAGATTTTTTCTTCCTTACCAGTGACTATTAAACAATAATGGAAGTGGATATTTATACGGCAGGCCGTCGAAAAATCGGAAGTGATAATTCCACGGCACATAAATTCAGCCAATCAGAACATCCGGACTATTAATAATTAAGCCTATAATCACTTTTCCATAAGTAACGCATTATAATAGAGATACAATTTAAGATACCGGTATGTTTAGTTAACAATGTTTATCCTTTGCTATCATTTTGTGCATTATGGACAATGATGAAATGTTTTGTGTGATTCTAACGAGAGAGAGATGCACAATTTATTTTGTGTAAGCAAAATGGAGAGAAGACTGTTTTTTTTTCCCAACAGTAAGGTGCCCATTTGCGGTTGGGATCGGGTCGGGTCGGGTAGGTATGATCACTCGACTCATCGCCTGAAAAACAAACACAATTCTTGCATTGATACACTTCAAGCAGAGCCTATGCCGTCAAAATATCAATTCCGATCTTTAGACTCTAGACGGCATACCGTATAGGATCTCTTTCGATGTTCAGACAGCATGCCGCGGAAATATCAACTACGATTTTCAGACGGCATGCCGTCGAAATATCGCTACCCAACAATAATTTGTGTAGCCTTTTTACAACACAGTCTTCCTTTCTATCAGTCAGAAAGCAAACATTAGTTTATTCTTGTGCTTACGGTCGGGCCTATGCTATTGTGGCAGTTTTGAAAGTCACTCACAATAAATTGTATTTATTTCGTCTGTCTTTGTTTCAAGTCTGGCTAGTGGGAAAATGAAAGCATGTTCTGGAATTTAGCTAACATTTCACACTGATCAGCAGTGAAAAAGAGAAAGCATTGCTTATTTATACGAATGGAAACCTATCATTGTTCCCTGCATGTTTAAGCCAAACTGGTACATATACAAGGGCTTGATGACAATATATGGACTGTATTCGTGAATACTCCCCCCATCCTCTCTCTCTCTCTCTC